CCCCCTTGTGCTAATAAAAAACAGATCTGATGCGTTGATGTGATCTCTGACATGAAGACATTAGTCATTCTCAGACTAAGTCATTAATGTTAATCAAAAAAATAAAAATCTATCCCTGCTCTTGACAAAATCACTTTTGTAACTTTAATAATGTTGGAAAGGCAGGGCTTAGCGCACTTGTCAAAGCCATCCGCGACGCCATCTTGAGATGAAACTTAATTTCTATCTGAAATAAATGCCTCTCTGAGCTGATATGCAAAGGAAAAAATAATAAAAACGGGATACACTGATCAGCCACATCATTAACAACCTGCCTAATATTGTGTAGGTCCCCCTTGTGCTAATAAAAAACAGATCTGATGCGTTGATGTGATCTCTGACATGAAGACATTAGTCATTCTCAGACTAAGTCATTAATGTTAATCAAAAAAAAAAAAATCTATCCCTGCTCTTGACAAAATCACTTTTGTAACTTTAATAATGTTGGAAAGACAGGGCTTAGCGCACTTGTCAATCATCACCGGAGAAATAACCTCTTTTTGTGTGTTATTGTGTGCGTCTGCGACTAATTGTGAGTACCCGTTTTGCTCCATAGTCTATCCTAGTTCATCCTAATATTCAGTTCCAAGACATGTTGGTATTTGTCTGCTGTTTGCAATTGAATGTCAGAAATAAGTGTTAAGGTTAAGCTAGCTAGTTCAGCGCATTCATGTGCTGTGTTTACAAATATAACATCGCTGTTTGGTTTCTTGCCACTGTCGCCTTTGGCTTGCTTAGTTGGGGACGCTTGACTGATTGCACAGATACTATTGGACGAGAGCTGAACTGGATGATGACATCACTGAATCATCAATAAACTGACTTTAGCTGGAAAAATTACTCTTTGTTATTGTTTTCTGGCATTATTGACAATCTATGTTCCTGTTTAACACTGTAAAGCTGCTTTGAGACAATCAGTATTGTATAAAGCGCTATACAAATAAAGGTGACTTGACTGTATCATCATCCTGTTCTGTATATGTTTATTTTTTATAATTTTGCTACTATACTGGAAATTATTTCTGTGAAGTTTATATGAGAGTACTGTATTGTACACTGTCATTGCCAGTATTGCGGCACGTTTTGTTTCAACGTGCCGATTATGTTTACATAAATGAGGACAGAGCTATATCGCATTGTATACTGCCACAGAACGTTGATACTGTATATTGTATTTAGGCACACTACAACATTGTATAGATTAATGTGATTTGTTTTGATACAGAAGTCAAGTCTTGTTATGCTGATTATTTCTTTATTTCTGTTTTATTGTAGAACCACATACACACATACACTCAAACAAATGCATTGTCAGTGTTCAATAAACCCCTTTGATTGAAGTTGACCACCTGATCCACTCCTGTGTTCTGATCGACTAGAGAAATCAGAACCACCTTAGAATACAATCCTAGTTCAGCTTCTTAACAAAGAATAAATATATAATTTACACAGTGAAAAACATGCAGAGTTTTGATTTGATTTGATTACACAACATATGTAGCATTTCTTATTTATTTGTTCTACTGTAGTTTTTTTTTTTTTTTGTCTTATTGTTTGTAATTAGTTTCTTATTCTTATTTAAGAGTTCAGGGCTGAGGCAAACAGAGTAATCCAGATAAACAGACAGAATATCAAGAACCAGGAAAACAAGACACGAGAGAACCAGGATAAAAGGCCAGGATAAAACTGCAGCTGTGACACATGCAAGACTAACTTTGTTAGTTTTCACTGTTCTTCTGATGATACTCAGCTTTATATTTCTTCACAGCCTGATGAAACAAACCAATTCACAAAACTAAAGGAATGCATAGGTGATATAAAGAACTGGATGACTAGTAATTTCCTACTTCTAAATTCTGAAGAAAAAAAATGAAAAAACAACAACAACAACAGAGGTTTTAATTACTGGACCAAAACCCTCTGCATGTAATAACCTAGAATACTGTATGGCAGCTTCAATGCAGCTATTGAATCAAATTAAATATTTTTTTTCTAAAGTTACTTTTCGATGTATTTCTCATTTAACACAATGGCTTTAAATGAACTTTTAGGGTAATTTCACAGCTAAATTTGATGCACCATTAATTTGGTTAATTTGATTATCACTTGAGAACTAGACGAGTCCTCTGCTCAATCTGACTTGTGCTGCAGCAATTAATTAAACCACGCCATGCTGGTTTGGTCTGGCCAGAGGAGAACTGGCCCCCGACTGAGCTTGGTTTCTCCCAAGGTTTTTTCTCCATTTCTGTCACCGATGGAGTTTTGGTTCCTTGCCGCTGTCACCTTTGGCTGGCTTAGTTGGGGACGCTTGATATTTGACATTATTATTGACTTGACTGCATAGACACTATTGGAAGAGAACTGAACTGAGTTGTATGATGACATCACTGTTTTCTCCAGAGCTGCTTTATAGATTAATTAAACTCATTTCATAATTGATGGACTTGACACAGTTATTGAACCTAACTAAATGAACAATGAACTGATTTTACTGAATGACTGTTTACTGTTGTCTTTTTAGAGATACTTTACAGAAGAATTAAATTCAGATAACAATTTGGGACAACCACAACAGCCCTGAATATCAGCGGAGACTACGACAACTAGATGAGCCGTAGAGACCGATCCACTCCGAAGACCTCATTGCCACGACAGCTATCGGCACAGATCCTAAACCAAGACCATGAGAACCAGACAAGCCTCTGCACAGACTGTGCATGATGGACCCGATCTTCAAGCAGAAGGAGCTGGATGAAATATTCAGAAAAATATCAGTCCACAAAACTCTGACCTGTGATGCAGCCTGGAATTAAACCACGCCATGCTGGTTTGGTCTGGCCAGAGGAGAACTGGCCCCCGACTGAGCTTGGTTTCTCCCAAGGTTTTTTCTCCATTTCTGTCACCGATGGAGTTTTGGTTCCTTGCCGCTGTCACCTTTGGCTGGCTTAGTTGGGGACGCTTGATATTTGACATTATTATTGACTTGACTGCATAGACACTATTGGAAGAGAACTGAACTGAGTTGTATGATGACATCACTGTTTTCTCCAGAGCTGCTTTATAGATTAATTAAACTCATTTCATAATTGATGGACTTGACACAGTTATTGAACCTAACTAAATGAACAATGAACTGATTTTACTGAATGACTGTTTACTGTTGTCTTTTTAGAGATACTTTACAGAAGAATTCAATTCAGTTTGCATCATTGAATCACTATTTTCTTGTTTACAGTGGTGTAATGTAATGAAGTAATAATACTTTGTTACAGTACTTACGTATTTTTTTTGAGAATCTGTACTTTACTTGAGTTTTTATATTTCTGTAAACTTTCACTTTTACTCCACTACATTTCCTAATTAAAATGTATACATACAGTATATCATCTGCGATAATATGGTAAGTGATGTTTTAATGATGTGCAATCTGACATTATCGAGTGTATATCACAAAAACACACAGAGAGAGTGCATGCATATACAGTACATGATTTAGTCTATTAAAATGCATTTAGAATAATCAAAATTCAAGGCATTCTAAATTGTAGGTGGCAAAAATGCATCTGTATGTCTTTTACATTTATATCATTTAATATAGTTAATCTATATCACACGAAGAGTGCCATTTTTTTCTCCAGATATCAGCATGAATGTAATATTGATTTTATAGAAGTTTAATAAAGTTAACATTAAGTGCCTTACATTTTAAACACAATATTGGCTGTTTTTGCTCAATTTTGCCAAAGAAAATAGTTCCAAACAAAGATCACAGCACTGTTTTGCATCTCAGAGCAACACACAGGATGGTGTTTCCTTATTGAATGAATCAACTTTTTGAACTAATTGGTTGAATGAATGATTCAGTGACTCACTCATTAACACAATCAAATGCTTCGTTACTGAATGAATCAGCCATTTGAATGACTGCCACCTGTTTTAAGTTGCGATCACAATCAGACACTCAGATTGTCACATACTGCAGAGCAACTGAGTTTGGATTTTCTTTCAGGTGTTAGAGGACGACAACAAGAACAGCAAGAAGATCAGATGGATTATAAAAACTGAAAAAATGCTATGATGAACCATGAACCATGTCATACCACAATGCTGTAATGCACAGTCAGCTGGACTTGACTTGACATCAGATGTTTGATTACATTAGTGCATGTGGCAGACGGTTTGATCTAAAGCGACTTACACTGCATTCAAAGTAACTGTCTTATCGGTTCATGCATTTCCTGGGAATGAACAGTGAACTACAATAACACTACATTACATTTAAGTGTAATACTGTCAACCCTGTTAACCTTGTATAAGATTAGAAAAATGCATATAAACTATCAAGCAAAGCTGTTTCAATGAGCAGCATTTGATCTGATCACTCAGTGTTTGTATAAAGTGTGTTTGCATGCAGATAATTGACTTTAATATCCGAGTCCATTCAGTCATTTAGTTTTGCACTGTTGTCTTGATCACTGGCAGGAACAATAATATGAATAAACACTGATTCTTTTGTTAACTAATCTGAGTTTGTTCTGTGGATATTTATTTTTTCACGCAAAGCATCACATGACTTAAGAAGACTGTTAACTTTCTTATTTCTTATTCTAATCAACTATATATTTTTATGTAATTTTTCTTATTTCTTAAGCTTCACTTTTGACTTCCTGTCACTTGTGAAACTTCCTTTCATTGTGTGCACATCATGGTCACACCTAGACAAAACGAGAACTAGATCTCAGACACAATGGTACACACGTATGATAACGGCAACCAAACACACACACACACATATATATGCTCGTACACACATCTTAATTGTAGTTATATTTCTTAATATCCATATAGGGTCATGTTTGACCTCTGACTACTTTGATTGGATGTCCAGAACATCCTGTATGTTGTTGTATGAATCTGTGTTGTATAAATATGACCCATTTTCCTTAAGCCTTCTGTGTCTTCTTGATCAATCAATTAATTTCATCAGTATTTTAATCGATCAGGCCAGTGCTGTAGCAATGCATCACTTCATTTCCATGATGTTTTCACTGCTAGTCATTACTGGGCTGCAGGTGAGCGTTCAGTCCGCAGGAAGACGTCCTGAGCGGAGCGTCAACAGACATTACAGATCGGAGCTGACTGTGCCGAATGGAAGGGGATGGGGGTCGTGGGGTCACAGGGAAATGTGTCCAAGTGGAACGTACGCCGCAGGGTTTAGTCTAAAGGTAAGCTAAGAATTGACTTCATTACAGCTTAATGGTTAAAAGAAGGTTGAAGGTTCAAACTCTGGAGTTGCTGCTAGTAATTAAATTCCAGGTATTTCTAAGGAAACTGCACCTGCTTTGTTTTGTTTTGTTTTGTTTGTAAGGTGGAAGATCCCATTGGTCATTGGGATGATACTGCACTCAACGGGATACGCCTTCACTGTGTTCATACGTCTACAGGCTTAACACACTCATATTACAACTACGTCTCAGTTGGGTCAGATGTAGGCAGGTAATGGGCTCAGTCTAAAGAGTAATAATGTAGCAGGTTTGCGGTTATTAAGAAATGTTATGTTAAGAGTCAGTTTCTTCATAAGCTAGATAAATGAATGTTCTTGAAAATAATGATTTTTTGTGTTTTTTCTTCAGCTGGGGTCGTTGGACAGATATCAAATGGTGTCCTTTTGGATTCTTGACTGCTTTTCACCTGAGAGTTGAAGTGCCTCAAGGAAAGGGTGACGACACAGCCGCAAACAACATCAGGTGAGTATCTGCTTTTGTGCTGAAAATCCTTTAACCTGATTTGGTGCTCTTGGTCAAAAATAACCGGTGTTTTACAAATTGCTTGTAAATCACTCATTATCAGTGTTGGGCTCGTTACTCCAAAAAATGTATTTATAACTCATTATTAGTTACTCCTTTCAAAAGTAATATTATTACTTTACTTTTTACTTTCTGGCAACAGTAATTAGTTAGACTATTAGTTACATTATTTTCCCTTCACGCCCCACAGAAGTTGTAATTGTGTATCTTCCCCACAAAATTCTTCTAAAATATTACTAACAATATATTTCTGCCTCATCATTTGACCAAAATCTACATTGGATGGCACTCAGAAGTTTTTACAAACACTGATTGATAATGACTTTTAAGTAAAAGTGTTGTATTAATTGTCATGTGTAGCTTGAAGCTATAATTTCTTTGTTACCCATATATGATTATACTTCATGAAGTATTTTATCAAAAGAAATCACACATCTTAGTACATCTGTGTTCAGATCAGCTTTTCTCCTGACAAAATTCTTCATGTGAGTCGTAAAAATTATGAAAATAAATCTAGGAATTATTGGATTGTTGGATTTCAAATTAGTAGGGTTTGAGGCATCAAAAGTAACTAAGTAACGAGCTGTTTTATGGATGGTAACTGTAATATTATTACTGAAATCTTATTAGTAATTAGTTACACTACTAGTTACTGCAAAAGTAATATTATTACTGTAGCTAGTTACTGCCCAACACTGCTCATTATTATGCTTTATTATATCACCTAATCTTTTTGGAACTGATTGATTGTAGGCCTCATTGATCTGTGCTTATGCACCTCAGTTTTGGAGTGAAAAACTGGATAATTTTGTCCAAATTTACTCAAGTTTACTCAAACTTAGCTGAGTAGCCACTGAAACCAGTTTTGTGCTACAGGCCTCTGGTCAAATTGCAAGTTCCAAGAGTTTGTTTTGCCTTGTTTTGTTAGTATTGATTGAAATAACATATTTTATCATAATGTTGTCACATCCAAATTTCTTCCAGGTTCATATGCAGTCAAGGGCATTTACTGCTGGGTGACGGCACACACTGGGGCGACTGGGGCGACTGGAGCCAAACATGTCAAGGAAAGGGAATTTGTGGTATCAAGACGCGGATAGAAAAGCCGCAAGGACGCGGAGACGACACCGCTCTCAATGACGTGCGCATGTTCTGCTGCAATTAAGGTGAAGCGATCGCAATCAAACACTCGGATCGCAGAGCTGTTTGGAAGATCTCAGTGATGTTAGTGCTGGCTTATCTGAGTTTGGCTTTTCTTTCAGGTGTTAGAGAACGACAACAAGAACTGCAAGAAGATCAGATGGATCATAATAATTGATCAGCATACTGTTATGAGCTCTCATGAACCATGTCATACAACACCTAGTCATTAACACAAAATAAAGCATGTGATCAGGACCTCAACACAAAGCAGAGGTCGACTGTACATCATCTCATTTATTACATGGCAATGCAAAGTGTGTTTTATCAGTTCAATCTCTGTATACTCGACATTAACTGTAAAGCTGTCAACCCGGTTACCTGTCATTTTTCTGAGGGCATAATTATATCCTAACATCTATTAAAATATATATTTAGCTTGAAATGACATTAGTGTTTGTCTGTTGATTAATGTGCTTCTTCGCCGACCTGATATTTATTTGCATCTCATTCTTTTATTTTTTTAATTTCTCATGATTGACTAATCAAAATAAATTAAGAAATGCTTTGTGAACAATAGGCACATTTCCAATCACTTTAATTCAAATGATTTAAATAAATTATTTCTGTGAACCTATTAAATATCAACATAAAAAATGCATTAAATAAAAATTTCCCAAAAGGTCCAAGCAATGCCATTTGAAAGGAGCTTTTTTATGGTGTTCAAACAGCTGATAAAAACATCACAATAATCCACAAGTAATCCACAGCACTCCAGTCCATCAGTTAACATCTGGAGAAGACAAAAGCTGAAACACATCCAGCATTAAGACGCTTTTAACTAAAACACATTGAGTCCATAATCCATAATAACTCTTACTCCAGTGAAAAAGTGTTCTGGTGTGAATCAGGAGAGAAATCTGCACAGATCAAGCAGCGTTTAAACAGCTCTAAACAAATATGTGGCTGGATTTTGATGCGAGACACAACAGGAGATGTACTTTTTCACTGGAGGAAGCAAGATTATGGATTATGGATTATGGAATCGACTTGATGTTTTTATCAGCTGGGGCCAGTTGCATAAACATAGTCACTATGTTAAGATTGTGTCTTAAGAACTAGTTTGACCAACTAGCAGTTAGCCAAGAAGTAACTAGTCTTACTTTTTAATTCAAATTAGCCCAGTCTACCTTTTTGTAACTGATTTTAAAAAGTTATGACCAGTCTAGAAGAAACAAATTACATGACTAACTTTTTAAGACTAAGACTAAGTCTAAACAGTTTATGCAACCGGCCACTGTTTGGACTCTCATTCTGACGGCACCCATTCACTGCAGAGCATCCATTGCTGAGACACTGATGCAATGCTGCATTTCTCCAAACCTGATGAAGAAACAAACTCATCTACATCTCATATGACCTGAGTGTGAGCACATTTTCACCAATTTCTATTTTTTGGATAAACTATGCCTTTAAGGAACCTACTCTACAGTATTTATTTGTCTTTAACACCTCAAGAAAGATAATAAAAAATGTAAGCTATCAAGCAAAGTTGTTTCAAAGGGCACATGCTTTTACTAGCAATGCGAAGCATTTGAGCAGTCAGTGTTTGTCTAAAGTGCGTTTATTGTCTTCACAATCATTTAGTTTTGCATTATTGTCTTGAACGATCATATGGATAAACACTGATTCTGTAGCTGAATGTATTGATTTCTTCATGCAAATTACTATGACTTCAGAAGTCAAGTTCTAGTTAAATTTGTCTCTCGTAAGAAAGAAAATCATACGGGATCGGACCGAAATGAAGGTGAGTAAATGATGACAGGATGATAATTTTAGCTGATCTTTTCCTCACAAGAGTTGATATTTACTGCAGGAAAGCAAAAAAGTTGTTTTTAATGTTGAGCTAATATTCTCTGTGTTGAGGTACATGCTTAGTATTTCTCTCTGAACTCTCCAAAATTACAAAATCAAAGCAGCAACTTAACATTTTATGGGAATTTTACCAAGTAAAACACTCCAAGCACACTAACAGTTTGTGTTCAGTGCTCCTGGCTGCTGATTGGCAAATATATATATGCAATATGTACTATTTGTTTATGCATTATTATTTAACATCCTTTAACAAGTTGGCATTTTTTCTTTATTTAAGCAAAAGCTGCAGGGTTTAACTGCAATTGTTTTTGAATTATATATATATAAATTTAAATAATTTGTACTTTTGTACAAATTTTGTTTTCTTTAAGCAAAAACTCACTTCATTTTGATATATTTTTCATAATACAAGACATGTTTTGTCATTTTGCTTCTCAAGTAAATGTATCTTGATTTATGAATGTTTAGATATTTGTACTGGAGAACAAGACCAAAATACTGAGGCAGAAAATATAGATATTTTTTTTTTTTTGCAATGCAGTATGAATTATTTTTAGTCACCCAATTTAGTTAGTCTATTATTATTGGTAAGTTAACTCTGTTCCCAATGGACAATTGTTTTAATATGTTTGCTGCAATGAAAGGCCTGTTTTAATGTATCAGCATTAAAGTCTCTGTCTGAGAAGCACCTTGAAGTCCCACATCCTTTATGACAACGTTTGACATCAGATGTTTGATTACATTAGTGCATGTGGCAGACGGTTCGATCTAAAGTGACTTACACTGCATTCAAAGTAACTGTCTTATCGGTTCATGCATTTCCAGGGAATGAACTGTGAACTCTACAGGATCTCTACATTTATGAACAATACTGTCATCCGTGCTAAACTCTGTTACCTTTCCGAGGGCATATTTATATCCTACACTCTTAAAAATAAAGGTTATTTGTTGGCATTTATGGTTCCATAAAGAAACTTTAACATCCATGAAATCTTTCCATTCCATAAATGTTTCTTTATAGTGCAGAAAGGTTCTTTTGAATATGAAAACTATTTTGTTTAGTTTTTGCTTAAAGGTCCGATTTCTGCTTTACAGAATCAATTTTTCTTTAAAATCTTGTATAAGATTAAAAAATTTAAATAAAATATCAAGCAAAGCTGTTTCAATGATCAGTCAGTGTTTGTCTAAAGTGTGTTTACATGCAGCTCATTAATGAACACTGATCTGAGTTTGTTCTGTGGATATTTATTGCTTCACACAAAGCATCACGTGACTTAAGAAGACTGTTAACTTTCTTATTTCTTATTCTAATTAAATATATATTTTTATATAATATTTCTTATTTCTTAAGCTTCACGTTTGACTTCCTTTCACTTGTGAAACTTCCTTTCATTGTGTGCACATCATGGTCACACCTAGACAAAACGAGAACTAGATCTCGGACACACTGGTACACACGTATGATAACGGCAACCAAGCACACACACACATATATGCTCGTACACACATCTTAATTGTAGTTATATTTCTTAATATCCATATAGGGTCATGTTTGACCTCTGACTACTTTGATTGGATGCCGAGAGAATCAAATATGACCCATCTTCTTTAATAAAGTTGAGAATGTTATGGTAGTACATTGGCTCTCTGTGTCTGCTTGATCAATTCATTTCATCAGTATTTTAATTGATCAGGCCAGTGCTGTAGCAATGCATCACTTAATTTCCATGATGTTTTCAAAGGTCCGATTTCTGCTTTACAGAATCAATTTTTCTTTAAAATCTTGTATAAGATTAAAAAATTTAAATAAAATATCAAGCAAAGCTGTTTCAATGATCAGTCAGTGTTTGTCTAAAGTGTGTTTACATGCAGCTCATTAATGAACACTGATCTGAGTTTGTTCTGTGGATATTTATTGCTTCACACAAAGCATCACGTGACTTAAGAAGACTGTTAACTTTCTTATTTCTTATTCTAATTAAATATATATTTTTATATAATATTTCTTATTTCTTAAGCTTCACGTTTGACTTCCTTTCACTTGTGAAACTTCCTTTCATTGTGTGCACATCATGGTCACACCTAGACAAAACGAGAACTAGATCTCGGACACACTGGTACACACGTATGATAACGGCAACCAAGCACACACACACATATATGCTCGTACACACATCTTAATTGTAGTTATATTTCTTAATATCCATATAGGGTCATGTTTGACCTCTGACTACTTTGATTGGATGCCGAGAGAATCAAATATGACCCATCTTCTTTAATAAAGTTGAGAATGTTATGGTATTACATTGGCTCTCTGTGTCTGCTTGATCAATTCATTTCATCAGTATTTTAATCGATCAGGCCAGTGCTGTAGCAATGCATCACTTCATTTCCATGATGTTTTCCAGATCAGAGCTGACTGTGCTGAATGGGATGAACTGGGGGTCGTGGGGGTATATCGACATCTGCCCAACTGGAACGTACGCCGCAGGGTTTGGTCTCAGTGTCAGTCAGGCATTGCATCTACTACAGTAATATGAGGTGGCTTCATGGTTAAACATGTAAGCTGGTGACTGATCGTTGAAGGTTCAAACCTCAGAAAGACTTAAGTGCCTGCTTAATACTAAAGAACACAAAGATGAATGTTACTGTGGATTGTGCTTTCAAATGGAGGATTGTCTGTCGTTGTCTTAAAGGCATAGTTCACCCAAAAATGAAAATGTGATGTTTATCTGCTTACCCCCAGAGCATCCAATATGTAGGTGACTTTGTTTCTTCAGTAGAACACAAATGCTGATTTTTAACTCAAACCGTTGCAGTCTGTCAGTCATATAATGGAAGTGAATGGGAGTCACAGCTTTGAGAGTCAAAAAACATACACAAACAAAACCAAACTGGCTCGTGACGATTCATTGATGTGTAAACACACGAAACGATCGGTCTGTGTAAGAAACTGAACAGTATTTATATCGTTTTTTACCTCTAATTTTCACCGCAATGTCTGAACTGTCCTGAGCGCCTTCGCGTCTTCTTCTTCAGCTGGCGCGTGAGGCGTCTTCTTCTTCTTCTTGCTTTACGGCGGATCGCAGACTTATAAGTGCATTACCGCCACCTATCTCTCAAATGGACCATTGACACTCCTAATTGAAATTGTAGATAGAGTGTCAATGGTCACAGTAAAAAAATCGCAAAGTTTGGCTACTTGGTGGCGCTATAAGAGGAAAAAATTCTAAAAATGGCTATAACTACACAACTATTTATGATCAAATTGACACCTGAAAATTATATATAAAGACATATAAAGACTTGTAGTAAGCATTTTGTTACCTGTCATTTATTTCAAATATCTATATACACAACAAAATGTGTGTGCATGTTTGTGTGTGTGTGTGTGTGTGTAAGCATGATTAATGAGTGTTAATATAATTATTTAACCATTTCATTTGTGTGAGTGTGAGTGTGTGTGTGAGTGTGTGTGTGTGTGTGTGTGTGAGTGTGAGTGTGTGTGTGTGTGTGTGTGTGAGCATATTCTCCATCGCTGATATGTTCTGGTATCAGCCATACATTTCGGGTTGGCCTCGACTCCAACAGCATCCATGTCATAAAGGACTTAAAGCGCCTGAACCCCAGTAATCGCTGCTTGCAGCTATATTTTTATTTATTTATTTTATTTTTTTGTGGGTGACTGCGCTGTCAGTTGAAACACCCCAAAGAGTTTAACACATTATTTTTGCATGGACAGATGATTGGATGCACAGACGGATGGATAAAGGTCGAGAACACACCAGCAGCTCAGTCATTGTGATAGCAAGTTATTAAAATACTTCACGTAATACCTTTAACAGGTTTTGTAAACAACGTTTCCTCTCAGGTCGATTGCGAATTTGCGTGTTATAATAATTCACCATCTCATGTTGTCCACCAATAAAATGTCTTAAGCAAACATGAACTGTGTGCATAAGCTACATCATCATACATCCGTTGGATATCAACCACAATACACATGAGAAACAGACATGTGCTGCAGATTAGTTCTGATAACATGCTGTATATAAGGCTGTAGCTGAGAAAGAGAAACATTTCGAAAAGATGGATCTCCTGCTGCTTGTCCTCCTGCTTGTGGCTCCTGCTCACTCCTGGCTGGTAAGAGTCCTTCTGACCTCACGATCTCAGATTTGATTCCTTGCTGAACGGTCGCAGACGTAAAGAAGCTAAAGCTATAATGCTGTTTTCCTTCCTGCTGTCCAGTCACTAGAAGAGTGGGGCTCTGGCCGTGTCGAAGGCTCCGTCGGGGAGTTTGGACAGTGTGTTTGTAATGTGTTCCTGCCTGACACTTCATTCCCAGCAGACCGTGTGGAGCACATGCAGACCACCTCAAATCAACTGTCTGTAAAGGTCAAGCTCCAGATCATCAAGGTATATTATGTTCATACAACCTAGATGAGCAGTTTTGCTCAGGATGTGGATTTTATATTGGACCCAGCCAGTGTTTTTACTGTTATACTATTGTAGTTATAATAGAATTAGTTATAATTCAGGCAGCACAGTGGCTCGGTGGGTCTCACTGTTGCCTCAGAGCAAGAAGGTCCCCACGTCGAATCCCTGAGCCAGGATTTTAATTTTTGTTAAAGTTTTAGTCATTCTGTTATGTGTGTGTTTTTCTTTCTTAGGCTATATAGTTTTGGATTTTTATTATTTTAGTTTGAGTTATTTTAGCACAATTATTAATATTTTTGTAATGAGCAGAAGTGTGATTCAAGTCTTTAATCATATATTTTTTTTCTAAATGCCTCTGGGTTTCCAATCAACTCAATGCATTTTGATGGCATGGTGCTTTCAGAAGCCTATACTTTACAGCACAGATCATGTTCATCCTCATCATGTTTTCTTTGACCCTGTGTTGTTGATGGTTTTGAGTGCATCACACATTCTGTCCATGTTCATCTGTCTGATTTAATGACAGATGATTTTGTGATTGGACAAATGACCTTTGACATATTCTCCTTCTCACTGTTAGAAGTCAATTAAATCTATGCATTTTGCTGTTGCAATACATGATTACACGGTTACTTTTATTATTCAGATTTATGTCTGTCTGAGATGTTTTTGGGTCACGACCCACCAGCAGAGGTCTACATTATCACCTTTTTCTCATTTGCTGCAATTCTAATCATTTCTTTTTCACATGCTCAGATCAGTAGTTTGAAGGTTCAGCTGGAAGTTCTTCTCAGCAATCTCTCCAACCTGACAACTCGTGTGGAGAGTCTGGAGAGCGGACCGGACAAGTACATCAAACTGGAGTTTGAGCTGCTCCGCATTGAGCTCAGAGAGTTTGAGGCTCTGGTCACACAACTGAAAGCATCTCTAAACTCATCTTCACCGGCCTTCGAGAGTCTCTACATTGAGGTGAAGCTTCCTTCACTTACACAAAACATCATGCCATTGTAGTATTTGCATGGGTCTAATTTGTTTTCTTTGTAAGATTCGCAATATGAGTTTAATCGTTGACCAACTGGAGAGCTACGACCGGAGCAACTTAGAAGTGATTCGCATCGAGTTCGCCAAACTTCAGCGGAAACTGGAGAAATGCCAGGATGATAAGGATGACTTCTCTAATGCAGGAATAGGTAGGAACACTCATTTTCTGTGAATGTTAAGAGGAAAATTTTAACTTAAGTTTACACTGTGTTGTACATGATGCATAAGCAGATATACATAAAGGAGATTATTCTGAAAAATATATTTTAATAAAATTTTAAGTATTGCACACATATACGAATATTTACAGATCTCCATTTGTATTTAATGGAAATATAAATTTAAATATTCTAGAACAGGGCCCATTTGTTATCTCAGGCTCTTTTAAATAAATAATTCAGGTCACAGGCTCTTAAGTCATAGATTGAGACTAGTTAGCTTTTATTACTTGTCTTAAGGAAAAACTGAGTGTAGTCAGATTATGTTACTTTAATACTGAAATGTCCGGATTAGTTACCGACTCCAGGTTCCCATGGTCAATGAAATCCTGGAAATCTGAATTTGAAGTATGGAAGCATTGCCCTTTCTTGTTGTATTCCAGGTAGCCTGTATCTACATATGTATATTTTATGTTTCCTTGCTTAATACAAGAAGAAGAATAAAACACAGAAGTAGCCTACTGATAGTTTTTTCTTTTGTATTGTAATGTACCTTCAAGTGTAACAAACTATCGGGAAAAAAAAATGTAGGGCGAGACTTGATTTGTAAGCATTGGATTTTTAATTGGATGTTGAGATGTGGGTGTGGCACTCAGAAGTGCAAGCTTGTAGGGGCAGGACTTAAAGGAATAGTTCACCTAAAAATTAAATTTTGATGATGTGTGTGTATATATATATATATATATATATATATATAACATAATCTTCCATTGCACTCCACTAGCTATAAAAATGTTACACAAACAAATTTTCAATTAACTTTTATTATTTGCAAAAATAATTGCATTTTTAGAATTTATTGCTTTCACTGATTTCTCCTAGGGTCCTGTAAGCATGGAGGTATTCTCAGAATTGGAAAGCCTGTCGTCAATGAAATCCTGGAAATCTGAATTTGAAGTATGGAAGCATTGCCCTTTCTTGTTGTATTCCAGGTAGCCTGTATCTACATATGTATATTTTATGTTTCCTTGCTTAATACAAGAAGAAGAATAAAACACAGAAGTAGCCTACTGATAGTTTTTTCTTTTGTATTGTAATGTACCTTCAAGTGTAACAAACTATCGGGAAAAAAAAATGTAGGGCGAGACTTGATTTGTAAGCATTGGATTTTTAATTGGATGTTGAGATGTGGGTGTGGCACTCAGAAGTGCAAGCTTGTAGGGGCAGGACTTAAAGGAATAGTTCACCTAAAAATTAAATTTTGATGAAAATGTCCTCACCCTCAGGCCATCCAGATGTAGATGAGTCAGTCTCTTCATGTGATTTAATGGCTTAAAGTTAAACCGTCTTGATGGATTTGTTTCGTTTGTACACTTAACTAAAAAAAAAAACCTAAACCCTCAAAGGGGGCTTTTCAGAAGTCTGTCACTGTACTGTACATAATATTAGAATATCAATAGTATATATGTGTATATATATATATAACCTACGCCACGGAGGAATCGAAGGGTAAACTGGTTTTAGGGAAGATCAATGAAGTGTCATTTGAAGTAGAGGAGGTTTGGCAGACCAGCATATACAAGCAGTCTGTCACAAACGCGTTCATGATTTGTGGCATCCTTTACGCAACCAGGTCAATAGACACTCAAACCGAGGAGATCTTTTACACCTTTGACACCAATAAAAACGAGGAAAGCCATGTTAGCATTCCCTTTGAGAAGTTCCAGGACTTTTACATGTACCTGGACTACAATCCCAGCGATCAGAGACTTTACATGTTCAACAATGGTTACTATGTGTATTACAACGTGAAGTTCAACATTGCTTAGATGAACTACTGCTTTCAAAAATGACTTGACAATGTAATCCATTTCATGTGGAAATGTGCAAATATTGCAATAAAAGTATACACAAGCATCATTTCTTGCATGTTATGATCTTATGTGTCATAGTGGTTCAGGTATATCAATAATTTAAACTTTAAATAATTAAACATTTAGTCAACATGTATCTAAAAAAGTTTGCATACGTGCTTACGTGGAGCATCATATTTATGAGGCTCATATATAATTAAGATGAAACTGTTTTAAAACTGTTTGTTAGTGATCTTATAATCCATTACAGTGTACGTTGCTAAATGGCAGAAGCTGCGTTTGTATGAAATGAGAAAGCACGTCCACAATACCATGATGACATAATTAAATAATTGTACACATAATATTGAATTGAGTTTTAATATTTTATGAGCTAACCAAACACAAAGCTTCCACAAAGAAAAACTGTTACCCATCATGGAACTCAAGGGAATAGCTCTGCATGACCACATTCTGAAGCACGTGTGTAACATTAATCAGTCCAATGAGCTGGTGTGCCCAAGATGGCCACCAGAGGACACCCCTGTGTCTTTGTGTAAATAGTGGCTCGTCCTGTGTTGGTGCCATGTGCTCTCCTGTCTATTGTCTAACTCCGCCCATCTTGTTACCTGATTATTGGTTATTTGCCTCACCTGCTTTCCCTCGTTACCTTCTTTGTTTGCTCTCCTATCTATTCCCCTTGTGTTTTCTGTCCTGTGCTGGTCCATTGTCCTGGTTGCTCGTTGCAGTTCAGCTCAGCTCAGCCCTGTTCTGTTCTGTTTTTTTTTTTTGCCCTATATGGGTCTTTTGTTTTCTAGCCATGTTGGCTGTTGTCTGGGCTTTGTTTTAGTCCAGTTTTGTGTTGCTCTTTATTTTTGTTAATAAAGATCTTTAAAGGGGTCATGAACTGAGAAATCAAAATTCCCTTGATCTTTTGACATATAAGAGGTCATCGTACTATAAAAACATCCTGTAAGTTTCAGAACTCAAAACTTTCTCATTATTCTAAAAACAGCTTACATTGAAGCCAATCTGCCAAAACGAAAGCTTGTGGAATGTTCCGCTCTATGACGTAATAGTGCGGCTAAACCCCGCCTCCGCAGAAGAAGATCAACTCCTGCTTCTACATCACTGCCTGTTTAGCTCCGCCCACCGATTCTACATCATTGCCTGTTTAGTTCCGCCCACCGATTCTACATCATTGCCTGTTTAGCTCCGCCCACCAATTCTACATCACTGCCTGTTTAGCTCCGCCCACTGATTCACGCACATATTGTAAATAACGAGAAAGACGAATGCAGGTCTACACAGAAACCAAACAATAAAGATGGCTCCGAAGATAACAAGACGCTGTGCAGTGCCAAATTGTGGACAAACACAGTCTTTGCATTGCCTTCCTTTTGATCCCAACGTTAGGAAAGAGCTTTATTTTTAATGAAGTTCCAGACCGCGTTTATAAAAGGTTGGTCGTTTGTTCACTTCATTTCACTGCGGATTCGTTTACAAACAAGGCACAACTCGACGTCGGATTTTCTGAAAGTCTGAAATTAAAAGACGATGCTGTGCAATTATATTGGATCCGACAGTAATGTCACAACACAAAAGCGTGAGTAACTGTTTTTATTACCTGGTCACTATTGCTTTGTTATTACAGATCGTTTGGTATGTACTGAGTATTTATGCTTTTTTAACCTAAATCACAGCAGGGTCCATCTGTGAATGATGTCAGCTGTCAAACATTAATGCAGATTTTTAAATATGCAAAACTGTTAGCCAATCATAGCGGTGGGCGTTTACTTCCGAGTCTACAGTCCGCCACGCCTATTCAAACGGAGTGTTCTGATGAGAGGGGGTCAAAACAGGACAGAAAATAGCCTGTTACTTCTAAATTGTGATTTTTTTTAATGCAAAATTCTTGATAACATTATAAGTGGACCTCAGAGAGCAGTACAAAGTAATAATAAAAAGGGCAGTTCATGACCCCTTTAATGAGCTCCGCTTGCTGTTCTGCATTTGGGTTCTGTTTGCAAAACATGACAGAAGCATCCGAAATAGCACCGGTAAGCTTCTGCTATTCAGTAGTGCATTGTGTGTGTGTGTGTCTGTGGAGTGTTTGCACAAGCATTGCTAGTGAGTCAGTTTGCCTCTTTTAGTAAGATATTAAAATGTCTAAGTGTAAACAAAAATCGGCAAAGGCGCTTCCGGCTGTGTGCTCCCCCATGTCCCCGCTTTATTACTGACGGGGACACATATGATCTGTGCGTCGCTTGTTTGGGAGGTAGCTGTGCCCAGTGTAAGCAGCTCCCGCCACATGTTCTCTGCTCCCGCCTGGCCTTGTTTGATGAAAGCGGCCAGATTCGCGATCCTCTTGGCTCCGGTCCCGCTGCGGCTGAGGCTCAGCATAAGCTGTTGTCATAGGGATCGCAGGTGGATTTAGCAGAGGGATCTGAGTGGATGGGAGAAGTGGATCTATTTGCGTCACAGGAAACGAAACACTGTCCGCTCTGGTTCTCCCTCACGCATTCAGCTCCTACATCGCAGATGTGGCAGAGGCTTCGTCTGTACCCTTTTCTCCCAATCGCTCTGCTACCGGGAGTTCTGGAGAGAGTACGCAGGGACGGGGTCCGTCAATAGCCCCATTCTGGCCGGCCCGAGGGTGGTTCTCGGACCTTGTGTCCCTTCTCGACGGCTCTCCCTTAGAAATTCCGATCAGGAGGGACCTCCTCTCTCAGGCAGGGGGCTCCAGTCCAGAGATCCCGCCACGAGGACATAGTGCGCCCTGAAGTAGAAACTTTTCAGACAGTGACTCCAAGACCCAGTTAACTGCCCAGTTGGTACAGTTCTGTAATTTCTGCAGGAGCGATTCTCCGCAGGGTTATCTCCGTCCACTCTGAAGGTGTACGTGGCAGCCACTCACTCTAGGTGGTCAGTCATTGGGAAGAGATCCACTTGTAACTTGTTTCTTCCGTGGTACTCTGAGGCTGAGACCTGCACAGCACACTAAAATACCAACCTGGGACTTGGAGGTGGTTCTGGAGGGCCTGTACAATGCCCCCTTTGAACCTACTGAGGAAGTGCCAGTCAAGTTCCTGACCTTAAAAACAGTTTTTCTCCTTGCTATTTCCTCCCTTAAGAGAATAGGAGACCTTCAGGCGCTCTCAGTCTCACCTTCATGCCTGGAGTTTGCCCCTGGCATGGTCAGAGTCTTACTGACCCTTCGAGGTCCCACCTGTGAGCCGCTCCAGTCGGCCGACTTACGGCCTCTGATGCTTAAGACTGCCCTCCTTTTGGCTTTAGCGTCGGTCAAGCGAGTGGGTGATCTGCAAGCGCTTTCAGTCAGCGCTTCCTGACTTGAGTTTGGGCCTAATGACTGTAAAGTCTTCCTTAAACCAAGACATGTCTATGTGCCTCTCTCCACTCCGTTCAGAGCACAAGTCATCACCGTTCTAGCTCTTCCTAATTCAGAGGATGAGCAGGGTCCTAATTTGCTCTGCCTGGTTTGGGCCCTTAGAGATTAGCCACTTTGGGCATTCAGAGCAGCTCCTTGTATGCTTCGGAAGCCGCTCTAAAGGGCTGCCAGTTATGAAGCAGAGACTATCCCACTGGATGCTAGATGCTATAGCCCTGGCTTACACCTCAGAGGACTTACAGAGTCCGGTTACTAATATAACCTCGGTTCCCTGAGAATAGCAGGAATGAGCGTTGCGTAGACTGCCGTGCTATAAGGCTGCACACAAGTCGATGACTGTCGCTATCAGTCGAAAGATTCTGATGAAATGGCATTCAGCGCCGACTTACATAGGCTTACTTGAGTATCAGAGTAAACAGGAGTTTCCCCAAAGCATTTCACGCAACACTAGTTCCCGCTATTCTCAGGGAACCGAGGTTACGTTAGTAACCGGAGCCAGAGCAAAAATAAGAATAAATCAATGCATATCTTTTACACTGTATATCACATGACACAGCCAAAGCCTCAGCGTGATTAAACGCTTGGCTTTCTTTATGTTTTGAGCTAGAAAACCATGAATGGAATACAAGATGTAGACACTATGGGGAGCAAGATGAAAAATACAGATCTAACATGGCAATAATTAAACATGGCAATTTATATAGGATTTATTTTCATCCATAAATTTAGTCTACAGTATCCATACTAACTTTCTATATTGACAGGGACAAAATGAATTGAAAATCATTGCAGGGCACGTAAACAAAATTAATGATTTTCATCATTATCTTGTATTTTGTTATGTTGTTTTAAAAAAAAATATGTTGTATTAAACAAAATGATTAACAAGGTTAAATGGGCGATATGTTTCCACACAACATATACAAGATTGCCAAACATTCCCCTAAACAACATGAAAGGCAAAAACATTCAGATAATCTATAATTATTTATATATCTATAAATAATTACAGGGAAAAAGAGACTTTTCCAACCTACAGAGATATAGCAAGAAATATAAAAATCTATGAACTCCGTGTATGATATGAAATGAATCATTAACTTACAGGAATATTGAAATTCTTCATGTTAAAAGTGAACAGCATTTTGCATTAAAAAGCTGACTCACAAACAAGATCAAAGCAACGTATGAGGAACAAACACTCTCTTTGTACCCAATTTACCCCTAATGAGTGCATAAAGCTATAGAAATACCTAAACTGTGCATATTAGTACCAAGATGTTAGTTCTTTTAGAAAGGATATACCCCTGTCACATATAAAGAACTTAAGAAACTATGCTTCTAAATATGATTAGGTGCACAGTTTTTTTTATTTATTTTTTTATTTTGAAAATAAGATATGTACTGATATTGTGAACCAAAAAACAATGCTAAATCAAGCATTAAAAAATAATAAACAATAAACGACAAAATACATTTCATGGGTGTCTGCAATTCGAAATCATCACAATAAAATGCACACACATAAATAAATAAATACATGCATTCACCAGCTTGCTTGCATACTTGTTTTCTATATCAGTGTTTTCTATGTTGGTCTAAAAGGAAACTAGGCTATTTATCATATTCTTCAGTGAATTTTGTCCTCCAGACAATATCATCATATTTTGAGAATAAAGCACAACAAATAAAGCACACATGTACTGATATTGTGAACCAAAAAACAATGCTAAATCAAGCATTAAAAAATAATAAACAATAAACGACAAAATACATTTCATGGGTGTCTGCAATTCGAAATCATCACAATAAAATGCACACACATAAATAAATAAATACATGCATTCACCAGCTTGCTTGCATACTTGTTTTCTATATCAGTGTTTTCTATGTTGGTCTAAAAGGAAACTAGGCTATTTATCATATTCTTCAGTGAATTTTGTCCTCCAGACAATATCATCATATTTTGAGAATAAAGCACAACAAAGCAATAAAGCACACTGAAATATTTAGAGAAGAGATGATCAAGGCAGATTTGACCTGAAAAAGCTTGATTTGTGGTCTCAGGACAAGAGTATTTTTTCATAAATGTCAGTTTTATGTTGTGATATTTATGTGTTTTTTTTCCCCCACACGTGTTCTATGCTGTCATTCATGCAGTTGATTAATTACAAGTTGTGCTGCCCTAAACAAAGCTTTAATATTTACGGCATTTTGCTACTGTGTAAAAAAGAGTTAATTACCGCATCCAGGGAGGGATGCGGCGTGGTGACGTCACGGGGTGACCTCATGCTCCGCCAATAGGAAGCGCTTGTTGTTTGGTCTTCCTGATGCTGACTGCGGATGCTGAGGATGAGAAGGGGAGTCTCGCGCACGGTTGGTTTTCTCTTCATTATGTAATATTAGTGCTAGTGACGCGTGCTGAATGATCCCCGCTCTGTCATTCAGGCTCTGCCTCACACACAGGCACCGTTTAGTAACAGTACAGTAAGTGCAGTGTAAGATCATCGTCGTCACCGTGAAATAACAGGCTGGGGTCAGGCGTGACGTCACAGCTTCATGCGTTCATCATCATCACTGCGCTCCTGCGGTGCGTCAGAACTATTATCTGCTAACTAAACCTTTAATACCACACAACATACATCAACTGTTCAAATGCGTGTGGGATCTCCGGGAGAAAGACGAGTCTCTCAGCTGTTCTGGTTTATGTATCATGTTTTGATGACTGTGTCTCGTGCTTAATTGTGAGTGTATTTTACTGCAGTATTTATAGTATTTTTTTTAAGTTTGCACTGGTAAATTATGTTAAGGGAACAAGCTTGTTTTTTCGCCGACTTTCACTTTCATTTGACAAAAACTGCCTGAACAGGTTTTGGAAACACTGATGCTATTTATGGCACGGTGATTTATTTACATATTTAGTCTCTGATGTGTTTTATGGCACATCATCACCTGCTCATACTTTGGTCAATATTTGCCAGTTCA